TCCAGAAGGGTAGGCACCTTGGCTGATTACAAGGAAACCTATGAAGAGTCATGTTGATCTTCGGAGGAATTTTATTCAGCAAAACTGTTTTGCCATCTGTTTATAGAGCCTACCAAGACAGCAACCATGTCTAAAGGCCAGGAGGACACTTAAAAGAAATGTTACCTGATTCCAGAAGCAGAAGGAGAGATCTCCAAAGATCCAAACAGTGCCGTGTCCTAGAAGAGAGGTCCATCACTGTGGTTGTTGAAGCCACTTCACACGCTACTGTGGGAGACAACCTTCTTTCTTCAATCTCCTTCTACCCATTTCCTCCGCTTTAGGATGATCAGTGATGATTTGCAGCTGAAATCCCCCATAGGAAATATCATTTTGCAATTTCTATAGCAATCACAAAAAGTCACCATCCTGAGGATTCATCGTACAGTGGGGTCATCGTCTAGCGAGGGACCACTGTACTAAAGATGGGTTAAAATATTATAAACGAACAAACAAAGAAACAAACAAATGCAATCAACCAACCGTGAAATGTAAAACACTCTGCTAATGTTCTGTACATGCTCACTTCTTGGGTCACAAACTTTTATCCATGAATGTGAAAGATCAACAAAATGTAGTTGATTAATTATCGAAGCCCCGTTTTCAAAAGTAAGAGCAAATTTTCATGTCCGGTCCCAGCTGACTGTGTCGCCACCTGTCTGCATCTCTTTCTTTCTTTGCCAATTGCAAGTTTTAGATCGGCTCCTTATCTGCTTGGGCTCGCTGTGTGACTCACAGCACAGAAATAGACCGCCAAGTCTTCCAGCTGGCTAGCGGGTTTCTTCAAGTCAAACGTTTTCAGGTTTTGGTCGTGCTTTGCTTGGAAGCCCCGGTTACGCCCCAAAGGGACATCTCCCAAGTGGCTCAAAAAGACCTTCGGAGGGAGGCCAGGACGTTGAATGAACCAGAACGGACTGACTTGGTAAGGTGAAGCCAGCTCATAGCTGCAGTTGATCAAAATGGGGTTACCCTGGATGACACTCACAACGCCTTCCGTTTGTTTAACTGATTGGCCAACGCAACCTTCTGCAGAGGAGACAACGGAACAAAAGATCAGTTACTAAATATATGTTTACTTTTCTTAATGCATGTATAAAATCTACCTTCACTCCCTCTGCACTGTAATTATAATAACCACATTGGGTGCTACTTATTCCATTCAGTACATGTGGCCTCACTACCTATGTGTCCTACCATCCAGGCAGGTAGTTAGCAGGATTCCAATACTTAAAACAACAAACAAAACCCTAATAAAGAATATTTTTGCTAGTTTTGAATAAGGAGAAAGGAAAATGTAACTGACATCCTTTGGGGTCTTCCAGCTGTGGTTGAAACCAATTAAGGTAAAGGTTCCCCTTGACATTTAGTCCAGTCGTGTCTGACTCTAGGGCATGGTGCTCATCCCCGTTTCCAAGCCGTAGAGCCAGCGTTTGTCCGAAGACAGTTTCCGTGGTCACGTGGCCAGCACGACTTAGGCATGGAACACTGTTAGCTTCCCACCGAGGTGTCCCTATTTATCTACTCACATTTGCATGCTTTCGAACCGCTAGGTTGGCGAGGAGCTGGGACAAAGCGACGGGAGCTCACTCCGTCGCGTGGATTCGATCTTACAACTGCTGATCTTCTGACCCTGCAGCACACAAAGGCTTCTGCGGTTTAGCCCGCAGCGCCACCGCGTCCCTTAAACCAATTAACTTCTACATTAATTCATCAAGCCATGCATTTAATGTTAAACTGGCCGTTCCTCTGTTTTCCATGCAGCATGAACACCGTCCACAAGTGCACACAAGCAGCATGGGAAAAGATCACTGATTTATTTTTTTTCCTGACAAAACGATGCCCTAGTATTCAGATGAAACATAAGAGTTAGACTCTCTGAAGCACAGGGACAATTTGTTAAGCAGAAAAGATCTTGAGACACAGACATGGAATATAAATCAATCTAACACTACTTACTGAAGACTGAGGCGATTAAGAAAGCTAGAAGATGGAGAGGCATCTTCCTGGATCAAGAAGGAAAGGAGAAATGGATGCAACCAACTTGATTCCGACCAGCCGCTCAGCTTTATGCCACAGGCAATCCAGTATACGATCAATCTGTTCGATGTTTAAAGAGGCTAAAAGCTCCTGGTGATTTTGCCTCCACAGATAAATAGAGCGAACCCTGCTTGAGGAGGAGACTTGAAGAAACGCAGCCGAGCTGCTGTCCTAGAAAAGTAATTTTAAAACTCATGTAAAATCACAGAAGGAGACCTAAAGGATGTGGTTAGCAGGCAGGAAGTCATTGTGTTCTATAGAGAATTGTCTCTCCCTTAACTAAATTGCAAGTAGGTCAGCCTCTGGGGGGCTGATTGAACACATCTTTGCATATGAAAGCAACCTGACAGACATCTGGTACAAAGAATATCTGATCAGGGGGAAAGACAGGGCTGTCTCTCTTAATTTTCCAGTTTTAACATCTACAACGGAGGAACGATCTTTGTCACAGAGCGTCCCCATTAGGGATGGACACAAACGGCTGGTTTGGCACACTGGGTATAGCTATTACATTTAATACATACAAATAGCATATCTGTTACTTGTAAACTTCTCGTAAACTTCCCAACTGTTAGAGCAGTATGACAATGGAACCCATGACCGCAGGGGGAGATGGTGAGTGCTCCAATGGTGGAGGCATTCAAGAGAAACTTGGACAACCACCTGGCAGGTATCTTTTGATTTGTATTCCTGCATCGAGCAGAGGGTTGGACTGGATGGCCTCATGGGCTCCTTCCAACTTCACAATTCTATGATTCTATGAATCCCTGTCAAGGTGCTAACACAAGGTTTGCCATATAGATAATTCCTTCACTGGTTTAGTTTCGGTCCTTGATAATACTGCTACTAATAGCCGGTTGTAACAGTGCTGGAGCAGTGCTTTGCAGGTACCCTGGATGGCCGGAAAGATGAACTGGTGGGTCCTAGATCAGATCAAGACTTCACAATTCTATGATTCTATGAATCCCTGTCAAGGTGCTAACACAAGGTTTGCCATATAGATAATTCCTTCACTGGTTTAGTTTCGGTCCTTGATAATACTGCTACTAATAGCCGGTTGTAACAGTGCTGGAGCAGTGCTTTGCAGGTACCCTGGATGGCCGGAAAGATGAACTGGTGGGTCCTAGATCAGATCAAGCCTGTTTTGAGGTTTGCCATATAGATAATTCCTTCACTGCTTTAGTTTCTGTCCTTGATAAGACGGCTACTAATAGCCAGTTGTAATGGTACTGGAGGAGCGCTTTGCAGATACCCTGGATGGCCAGAAAGATGAACTGGTGGGTCCTAGATCAGATCAAGCCTATTTCTGGCACATCATGAGAAGGCAGGATTTTCTAGAAAAAGACATCCATGGTGGTAAAGGTGGAAGGTAGCAGGAAAAGAGGAAGACCGAATATAAGATGGAGTGATTTCATAAAGGAAGCCACAGGGTTGAGTTTACAAGAGCTGAGCAGGACTGTTGTAGATAGGTCTTTTTGGAGATTGCTCTCATTCATAGGGTTACCATGAGCCGGAGGCGATTTGACAGCAGATAACCTCAATAAATAGCTAGTTATAGCTGTGGAAGTGAGAGCTGGACCATAAAGAAGGCTGACTGCCGAAGATTTGATGCTTTTGAATTGTGGTGCTAGAGGAGGCTCTTGAGAGTCCCCTGGATGGCAAGGAGAACAAAACTATCCTTTCTCAACGAAATCAACCCTGAGTTCTCCCTGGAAGGACAGATCCTGAAGCTGAGGCTCCAATACTTTGGCTATCTCATGAGAAGAGAAGACTCCCTGGAAAAAAACCCTGATGTTGGGGAAGAGTGAAGGCAAAAGGAGAAGGGGACGACAAAGGACGAGATGGCTGGACAGGGTCACCGAAGTGACCAGCTTGAATTTGACCCAACGCCGGGAGGCAGTGGAAGACAGGAGGGCCTGGCGTGCTCTGGTCCATGGGGTCACGAAGAGTCAGACACAACTAAATGACTAAACAGCAACAACAACACCTTTCCACAGGCCCTTCACACTTAGATTAGGGAACAAAATTCCTGCATGGAACTCGCCAAGCTTTCGTGATTGTCCTGCAAGCCACAGACATCCCAAATTGAAGGAACTGCTCCTAGAACAGTCTGACCTACCACAAACCAAGCTGATGGGGCTGAGGAGCGTTGTCAGCAGAAACATCTGGCAGCCAACATGGCAGGAGGGTTTCTTGCCTTCATCCTCCACTTAAGGCACTACCCAAAGCCTCTGATAAACTATTGCACGTTGCAGAATCATGATTCATGACCCTTTATCCAATTTGCACTGTGCTCCTCATATGAGCCCCAAGTACCAGTTTTTGGTTTCATGACAAATAATAGGAACTAAGGTGGCACTGAATAGGTGGCTCCACCTCCTGGAAGAGAAAGAAAGAGAGAGAGAAACTGTATGTATATGTATCTCATGCTATTTCAGAGGAAGTATTTTTCGAAGGCATTTTTATAGAGTTCTACCTCAACAAAATTTCTGATAATATGGAGAGATAGGCCAGTGGAGGACCATTCTACAGGAATGGGGCCACCCTTGAGAAGATCCAGTTCCTGGTTGATATTCTTCTGACCTCTCTCAGTTCAGGCTCTCTGAAATAAAGCCTGAGAGGAACAGGTGAAATGGGGAGCAGTTCTTCAGGAGAGGTGATCTAATGGATACCAAGGTCCCAAACCCTTTAGGGCTTTATAGGTCAACACGCTATGAGACTGGAATGAGATTGTGTGGCTCCTGAACCTATACTAGTAGTCCACCCCTCATCTTAACAGCCCTGCAGCCCTGAGATATGGAAGGTGCTTCCCCTTGACAGTATTCCACTACCCACTTAGGTATATGGAACTGAAGAGGGGGAGCCATCTTGGCCTTTACGTCAGGTAGCAAAATGGCTGGAGCCTGCTCTGCTTGGCTCCCCTCATGAGCGTTTGCATCTTGTCTGTTGCTGATTTTGCTCTGCTCCTCTTTCAGCTCCTGGAGCTCCTCCCCCACTCAGCCTTTGTGAGGGGTTCCTGCACGCGACAGTCCTTTCCTCACACACTGTGCGTCCGCGAGAGCACAGAAGTACACGGCAGCATCGTCCAGCAGGATGTGATGGAGAGCGAGGGCGCTGGACTTCTTGTCATGAGCAAAGTGCAATGTGCTTTTCGGATCGGTGCCTTCAACAGTTTCTCCTGGATACGCGCCGGCAATATACTGAGGTCCTTGGCCGGGGAATTGGCGATACCACTGGATCATTTTCGTTACAGAAGAAACAGAAGTCAGGGTGCAGCTAAGGTTGTGTGCTTTTCCACTAAATGCTGTGGTGGATTCTTGCTGCTCAATCTTCTGAGCGATTCCAAGAAAACCTATAAGGAAGTGAAAAAGTGTAAGACACTCAAAGAAACAGTAAGGTGTACCCATCTCCCCCACATCTCTCCGCTTAGCCCAGCCAGCCAGCTGCACAGGATGTGTGTATGTGTGTGTGTGTGTTTTATCCATTTACTGGCCTATTAGTACATAGATTAGTGTATATACTGTGTGTATGTGTGTGTATATACATGGATGGATGGATGGATGGATGGATGGATGGATGGATGGATGGATGGATGGATGGATGGATGGATGGATGGATGGATGGATGGATGGATGGAACATAGTGTCTTTTTCAAGCACCAGTCGTTGGGAGAGATGGAGTGGAACCACTACAGAGCAGATAGGCTTTCTCTGTTTCCCTTTGGATCCAACAGTATAGAGCTATCTTGCTGTTGCTGGAAGGGAGGAATCTCATGATATTTGGAAGCTTCTCACAAAAAGGGTCCCATTCTGTGGGTCTCTGAGCCATTTTTTCTTATCCACCCTCAAGACTTGCTATGGCCTGTCCACCTGCTGCCATCAATGAGTGGCAAATCATATCCCTTAATTTTGCCTGGAAAAGCAGCAGTAAACATTTGCTATAAAGGAGATTTAGCAGTTAGTAGCTGGGTTTCACTGCTGTGTTTGGAGACCTGAAACTATAAATCTGTGGCCTGTCTGTTGCCAACTGGTGAACACAGTTTCCTAAACAATCTCTCTAGAACAGTGGTTCCTAACCTTGGGCATCCCAGATATTCTTGGAATGAAACTTCTAGACATTCTGGGCAGCGGAGGCTTCTTGGAGGTGCAGTCCGAGAACACCTGGGTTACCTATGGTTGGGAGCCACTGTTCTACAATATTGGCGTTGCCAGGATGAATCACACAGATATTGTCTCCCACATGTGCTGGTGGCATCACCCACCTGCAGCCCAAAGTGGTACAATCCTTTCTACCAACTCTAGGCTATACCATGTCCTTCTCTGCAATAGGAGACTGACTTTCAGAGGCTACACACAGCTTGAGTTCCCATTTGAGGGTTTTAAGCATGGTGAGGACTCAAGATAAAAGAAGGGGGGAAGAAGAGTGGAAAGATATCAAGCCACGGGGGTATCAACCATCACTCACCTGACACGGACAAGATTAGCAAAGGCAGCATCCATGGAAGAGACATCTTACTAAACCAGACAGAGGTGTAACCAAGAAAGACACCAGAAACCGAGAGAAGGGAGGTTTTCTGTGATCTGCTTTGCACTGGATTGTCTACTGTATGAAAAACAACTCAATCTTCTTGGTATTTTTTTAAAGCTTCAAATAAAGTGTTGGTAGACCAGAGGATGTGGTTAGCAGCAGGCAAGACATCTCAGTGAGCTCAGTGTAGGAAGCTCAGTGGCTTCCATTTGAGATTAAACAATATCCCTATAGAATTCGGAAAAGCTCAACAGCTCTACCTTGTGTCTGAGGGCCTGATCACATAGACCATTGGAATAATTTCTTCCTTTTTTCATAGCGCTATATTTGTAGGTATAGTCACTGATCCCATTCACATAGCCGGCAATTCAGTTGGTATATTTCTTGCTAATTGTACTAGTTCTGTACATGAACTATCTCGTATAAATGGATTCATTTTCTGTCCTGTTTCTGGGTCCCCACTGCCCTACTTTTTCCTGATAGTCAACTGAAATCTGGCTTCTCATAACCTGAGTCCATTGTTGTGTGTCCTGCACTCAGGGGTGATCGAGAACAGATCCTGCCTCTTCTCTGTATGACAGCCTTCAAGTATTTGAAAACTGCTATCATATCACCCCTCAATCTTCTTTTCTCAAGTCCCCATCCCTGTAATATCACCTTTCAGGATCTGTGTTGCTCCTATCCGCTCAGGTCCTTTAGGATCAAATAGAAGACATGGAAATGGGACCGGGTTTGCCATTAACTGGAGATTCATCACATTCTATGGAGTGACATAACAAGAAGAAATCAAATGCCAACTTCCAGGAGCAGAAGAGTTTCCCGGAAAGGCAAGAAGCAGCCTGTTTCAGAAGAGAAGCACATGTTTGCAAGGTTTTGAGTTCTCTCGGAAACAAAGCCCTTCTGGCTTCTTCTGTTGGAAAGGGTTGGCGATAAGACAGCTTCCTTCTGCTTCCAGCCTTTCCCACCTTCTGACGAATTCTGAAGTTTGTTCAACAACGTGGTACAAATAGGAAAGTGAGAAGGTTTGGACTGCCCCCTTCTGGCCAAGAAATGTACAATTTGGCAAAACAGATGCCCATCCGACCCTCTTCCCACTGCCCCCATTGCCTCCCTACTTTGTCTTGCCACCTCCACCACCATCTTCAGAAAAGTTGGGCCTTCTGGCTGTGCACATGCACTCACCTATCAGATGATAGGTGGGCACATGCGCAGAGACAGCCAGTCCAGCTTCCCTTCCAGGAAGGGAAGTTCATCGCTGTATCCACTTACACCACACTGGGTAATTGTTGTCTTCCACTGCCTCCCTGAGTTGGGTCAAATTCATGTTGGTTGCTTTGATGACACTGTCCAACCATCTCGTCCTCTGTCATCCCTTCTCCTCCTGCCTTCACATTTTCCCAACATCAGGGTCTTTTCCAGGGAGTCTTCTCTTCTCATGAGATAGCCAAGTACCGTATTTTTCACACCATAAGATGCACTTTTTCTCCACAAAATGGGGGTGGAAAGTCTGTGCGTCTTATGGAGCGAAGAAAACAGATTATATTTTCCTGTTTTCTTCTCCTGAAAAATTGGTGCGTCTTATGGAAAGGTGCGTCTTATGGAGCGAAAAATACAGTAATTGTATTGACTTCTAAATAAGTTCAAAACTGGGTTCCTTCTTTTAAGGTCTCAACGGCAGATGATTTTTATGTGTTTAGCAGTGATTAATGACTGAAATGCAGAGCAACGGTGTTAATTGTTTTAATCTTTTAATTTTATTTTAAACCATATATCATTTCATTTGTCTTTTAATCTTTAACCTTGTGTATTTTAATGGTGTGAATTTTAATGCTGTGAGCCGCCTTAAATCCTTGGTCAGGAGAAACGCAGCCTAGATGTAAAACTTATAATGACAAATAAAACTAATAATAATTGCTCACCTCCATTTGACAAGAATTAATGAAAAACCTAGCAGTTCAAAAGCATGTAAAAATGCGAGTATATAAATAGGTACCACCTCGGTGGGAAGGTCACGGCGCTGCATGTCTAGTCACGCTGGCCACGTGACCACGGAAACTGTCTTCAGACAAACGCTGGCTCTACGGCTTGGAAACAGGGATGAGCACCGCGCCCTAGAGTCGGACATGACTGGGCTAAATGTCAAGGGCAACCTTTACCTTTACCTAATGAAAAACTAAGGCTAATTTAAGGCATGCTCTTGTAAGAAAAAAGCTCCCTCTGCTACATCCATCACTCTGTCATTATAGATCAAAAGTTCTGCACCGTTCCACCGGGGGGGGGTTCTGTTTGGCCATCCTTAACATTCTCTTCACTGTGCTACTCAAGGCACAGACGTAGACAGCTGAGTCTATCAGCTCCGCTGCGTCCTTGGTCAGATTGAAGGTCTTTTTGTCCCCTGAATAACGGAAACCCCTCCTGCGCTTCATGGTCTCCTCATCCTGACCATCAAAATTTGACAGCAAAAGCTGAGGGGCTCCAGGCGGATGCTGCTCATACCACAACAGCATTGGAGAAGAATAAGTGGTCTCATATCGGCATGGCAGGAAAACAGGTTGGCCCTCTTGGATAGAAGGAAGATGTTCTGCTTGGGTCACAGAATCCCCATGGGTCCTTTCTGTGGGAAAAAAATGAATTTATTTATCTCAGTTCATCTACACACAGAGCTTGACCTTCACTGTGGATCGACACCCATTCAAACCCTCGAATGAGCAATTTCTAGACTCTCCACATGTAATCATCTCTGGTTTCTCTCTATAGACTTCATTCTAGATTTTAAAACATCCATAATCCACTCAACTGATCATTCTAGCTGGCTGGAAGCAGAACAGAGGGAAATGAAAACATTATCTGAAGATCACTCCCTACAATTCCTCTGGGCTGAATTCCTTCAAAAGCTATATATTTTGATAGCCTCCTGATTCTCCTTTTAAGACAACACATACCACAACAAGAGCTTCTGATATGGCTGTTCTTCAGGATGTGCCTCTCTAAGATGATGACAAAGATGGAAAGGTTTTAAGCAGGAGCTGACGTGTCGCTTGGCCTACTTCTCAGGCACGTATTCCATTTAGGCTGCCCATTTATTCCAGTAGGTCTCCTCAGTAGCCTCAATGGGATTTGCTTTTGAGCAGCCACGAAGTCACTTGAGGCAAACCAAGTAAAGAAAGAAAGAGGACAAAATGACATCATTTTGATGTCCAAAATAGGTTTTAAACAAGAGATGAGGAACTAGCAGAGTACAGAAGAAGCAACAGTTGAAGGTGTAAAAAAAGCAATCCAAACAAAGACAGCTTTGGAGTGGTTTTCAGACAAGTAAGCAAAAGTCCAAAGAAATGCATTGAAGATATTAGAACGTGCCTTAAACAAATGCAGATTTCAAAAGGATACTCACTTAGCATTAAAGCCAAGAGCACAGTTAAGACAGGTGTAGAGAGCATAATACGGACGATGGATCTCAGCCCAAGATGTGCTAAGATGATCTTGCTTAAGATACAACTTCTTGCACTAAAGGTACGCCTGGTCCAGGTCTTCACTACTTGGTCATAGAGAACCAGCTTCCTGCTCACAGGCCCTTCCACGTCCTTTCTTCGAAACCACTGGTGGTCTTCTCCTCTAGAGACATGACGTGGGTCTCCTTGCAGGTTATTCTGTTTGTCTCCCTTAGAAGGGCTGGGAGGAGGAAGCGGAGGCTTCCTTTAGGGGTGTGTGTTTTCACCTCAATGATGTATGTTGTGGGTATTTATTTCATTGGAGGAAGAAAGAAGAGAATAAAAATCTACGGGGACAATACTGTCCCCTACTGGCTAGAGGTAGGAAACGATCAGAACAGAAAATAGAGATACTAAATCAATAATTCTATCAGACAGACAGACAGACAGACAGACAGACAGACAGAAACACACACACACACACACAAAGACACCTATCCCCCAGATCATTTAGAACAGTGGTTCCTAACCTTGACAGACAGACAGACAGACAGACAGAGAGACGTGCGCGCACACGCACACACAAACATACACACACACACAAAGATACCTATCCCCCAGATCATTTAGAACAGTGGTTCCTAACGTTGGCCCTCCCCAGATGTTCTTGGACTAGAACTCCCAGAAACCTTCACCACTAGTGGTAGTGGGTAAGTATCTATCTATCTATCTATCTATCTATCTATCTATCTATCTATCTATCTATCTATCTATCTCCTACCTACCTACCTACCTACCTACCTACCTACCTACCTACCTACCTACCTACCTACCTACCTACCTACCTACCTACCTACCTACCTACCTACCTACCTACCTACCTACCTACCTACCTACCTACCTACCTACCTACCTACCTACATACATACATACATACATACATACATACATACATACATACATACATACATACATACATACATACATACATACATACATACATACATACATACATACTACTGTACCTCAATTGTGGTGAGGATGGTGTCTCTGAGTCCTATGCTCAGCAAAGCAGGACCAAAGTCACATTGCATCCAAGAAGATGGTCTAGCAGATGGTTGCCAAAAACCTGTACCCTTCAATACAGAGGGAATAAAGTGGATTGACATGTTTTGCATTCATTTCTTGGTTTTGTTCCAACCATTTATGGCTTATTCTGATGGAGTTACAAACCACTGTCTGCTCTGCAGCCCTCCTTCAAGAGTGGAAGAAAGAAACCTCAGATTGGTTGGCTTTTTTCAGCTCTCCCTTATCACCGGAACCCTCTTCACTGAGCACCAAAAGGAGGGAGTTCTTGCACGGCGCCATGGCCAAGGCGTAGCACTGTGTCACTCACAGCGCAGTAGTACACAGCAGCCTCCTCTAAGGTCACGAGAGTCAAGGATAAATAACTGGATTTTTTATCTTCATTGATAAGCAAAGAGGCTCCCTTGAGTTTTTCACTTCTGACTACTCCACTGTATCCAGACACTATGAAGTGAGGAGCCTGGTTAGGGAGCTGCTGGTACCAGTGGATGGCATCTCCTTTGGCAGCGGATGGGTGGCTGCAGGAAAGGTTCAGGGCTTTTCCAACAGAGGCTTCCACCAGGGGCTCTTGGGTGATCTGTTCAGCTTTGCACAGAAGGATCCCTGGGGGAAAGAAAAAGGAAATAGAAGGGCTGGTGAGAATAATCGGTGCCAACGTGACACTTGTGGAAGCTCAGAGACCAACAAGACCAAATGCATATCTTGGTACGTTCAGGATTTAAGGACAACCCCAGCCAGAACTCTATTGCTGTGAATCTGTGTTTTTGTAGCTCTTATAATCCTAGAATGTGAAATTGTGGGAGCTGTGGATCCAAAGTTATGTCCCCAGTTCTAGTCCTGATTCGAAGCAACTCTGAAAGATGCTCAGTAGTTTAGCTATCTGCCTGCGGAGGCAGAGGGTGGGAGTTCTATTCCCCGCTGGGCCTCCTTGACCCCTGGACTCTACGATCCATAGGGTTCCTTCCAGCTCTGCACTTCTAAGATGATGATAAAGAGGAGAAGGATGTCCTCTTTCTTCTAAATATCTTGGGGAGAAGATATAGCAAGTGACAGTCAAAGACTAGGAAGAGCTTGGTGTAAACTGGATCAGTGCCACATCCTACCGAGAGAGAGAGAGACTGAAGCATTTTGGATTAGATTGTCACCTAATTCTATGGCAATGCAAAAATACGTTACCAGATTTCAGGAGGAGAAACACAGCTTCCATGAGAGTCAAGTGGCCTCTTCTTTTCGAATGGACAAACATCTTGGGGATGTGTGGAATTCTGACGTGGTAGGAACCCCTGCTATTTTCTTCTGCTTAAAACGTGTGCAGACGCAACAGACTCTTTCTCAGCCTCTTGCCAGCAACCACAACACGTCCTGTTGGGTTTTTTAAACTTCTACAAGTGAGACCTACGATTACAGGGAGGAGGAGAAGATAGGGGAGATTTTAAAAAGCTTGGGTTGCCCCCTAGTGGTCCCAGATATAAAAATAAGAAAATTGTGCGAATGGATTTCATTGTCTTGCTCCAGTCCCAGTTATTTGGAAGGGAAAGGACGATGCAAACTCTGTACACGATGCTTCTTCGTTTGTACAGTAGCTGGGTTTTCCCAGGGCCTTTCCTCTCTAACCCCCAAAAGAGTAGCTGAAAGAGACAAAGAGGAAAACCTGCGGAGTGTCATTGGACTGATCAAATTAAGAATAGAGATGAGCATGAATAAAAAAGGAATCCAAAAAATTCATCAAAAATCACTGGTTTGTTGATTCTGGACAGTTTAGGTTTGTCCAAACTGGAGAACCAGAACTTTCCTGAACGCCAAACGCCGTGACCATCCCACTGAAGTAGTACCTATTTATCTACTTGCATTTGCATGCTTTCGAACTGCTAGGTTGGCAGGAGCAGGGAGAAGCGACGGGAGCTCACTCTGTCACGTGGATTCGATCTTACGACTGCTGGTCTTCTGACCTTGCAGCACAGAGGTGTTGCTTTTTTTTACCATTTTTGTGTGTGTGGCATCTGTTTGATCCTTTTTAGTATTTGTATCCTGACTGTTTTTAGCTTCAAATATCATCTTTAAACTGCCTTGGTTGACATCATTAAAAGACAATATTTGAAGGTAAATGTCTGATATGTAGCTTGCACCCCATCAATTTGCCACAGTTAGTTATACCAATTTACACAAACCTTATATGAACCTAAACAGGATTCTGGCCACATATGCCGCCAGCCAAAGAATCCTTTCTCCTGTACCTATCAGTTATACCCCAACTTGGAAGTGGCATACAGAGGTTATTATTTTTAGGGTCCAGAATCTATGTGTGAGAACCGTGAGAAAGATGAGACTTCGAAGAAAGGTCTCAGAGAAAACACACAAAGCCAGTGGTCTCCATGTAACTAGCATGACAGCCCAAATCCTGTTTCAGTTTATCAGTCATACTCCAGATGTGACAGCAGGATTCTTGTTTTATATTGGTTTTTGAGATGCTCAAGAAAGCACACTATCATCTAGTTCAGTGGTTCCCACCCTTGAGTCCCCAGATGGACTAAAACTCCCAGAAACCTTCACCAATAGCTGTGCTAGCCAGGATTTCTGGGAGTTGTAGTCCAAGAACATCTGGGGACCCAAGGTTGGGAGCCACTGATTATAATTCCATGGAGTCTCAAGTACAGTAGTGCCCCGCATAACGAGCACTTCATTTAATGATGAATAGCAATGTGTTTTTTGCGATCACAAAAGCAATGTTTTAGATGGGAAAATATCGCTTTGTGATGATCGGTAAGCGTTTCGCTTACCGATTAACGCATAACGATGTTTTTTAAACAGCTGATCAGCTGTACCAAAATGGCCGCTGGGTAAAGAAAATGGCCACCTGCTGTGTTCTCACGCCCTTTCCTTGCTTACCGGGCAGTGAAAATGGCGGCTGCATGGAGGATTTTCGCAGAACGGTGAGTTTTTTGCCCATAGGAACGCATTAAACATGTTTTAATGCATTCCTATTGGCTTTTTTGTCCCGCATAGCGATGAATCTGTATAGCGACGATTTTTTCGGAACAGATTATTGTCGCTATGCGGGGCACCACAATAGCTGAATGACATGACCTGGTTTCCTGAAAGAGCTCAGCTGCGGTTGACTTGCTAGCATGGTTGCTAACAATTCATCAACTATAACAAAAATGTTTTCAGTGTTCCTGACAGAAACCAGCTTAGGAGCATGAAAAATGTGAGCTTCATGCACAAACTTGGTAGATTAGAAGCGCTGCATGACATTTCTAGTTCATGCTGTGCAAGGCATTAGTTTCGACTCTGCCTCTAGGCGGGTTTTTGTGCCAGCCCTGCTGCTGTTCTCTCCACTGTGTCCATCAAGACGCAGAAGTAGACAGTTGAGTCTCTCAGCTCGGCAGCCCTTTTTGTCAGATTGAAGGACTTGGCCTTGTTCTGTGCCGAAAATTCTCTTCTTCCCTCTTTGGTCTCTTCGTAGCTAGACAGCAGTTGCTGAGGGGCACCAGAAGGCTGTTGTTCGTACCAGAAAAGCTGGTTGGAAGCGGTGGAGAAATTGGACTCGTAGACACATGGCAAAAAAACAGGCTGGCCCTCTCGGACAGAAACAAGAGGTTCGGGTTGGGACACAGGATTTCCATGGGCCTTGTCTGTAAAAGAGATGTGGGATTTGATTACTGGGCATCTTTATCGTACAGCACTCAGCGCTGCGAATTGCTAGGTGGGGAATGAATGAATGAATGAATGAATGAATGAATGAATGAATGAATGAATGAATGAATGAATGAATGAATGAAATCTACAAGCTTTCAGAGATGCAGAATGAAACAAAAACCTCTGTTTCCCCCACTTGCTAAAATTTTATCTCTGAAACTTACCTGAGAAAGGAGAGGACATTGCCCTTAGGAAATGATCATATCTCCCGATGATCCTCAGTGTTGTTACAGATATGTTTCTTTTCCATTCATGCTATTAAATGAATGGTTCATTGTCTAAAGTTGTGTATTTAATAATATGCCAAAATGTAACCCTTTCCTGTTAGCTTCTGAAAATGTCTTTCTAGAATCCCAAGCATTCCTCATCAAGATCAACAGAATATTTTCACCTTCTGAGAATTATCTATCCGTAGGTAGAGCAGACACACTATTATGTTCTTTCACGTATGACAGAAAAGAGTTTGGTCTGTTTCTCCAAGTATTTTTCTGCAATGAGGGCATGATCTAGTTTTTGTTGTTGTTCTTTGTCTTCAAGTTGCCTCTGACATATGACGACCCTATGGATAAGCTACCTCCAAAAATGTCCCAACCTCAAGTGCCCTCCTCAGCTCTTGTAAACTCAAAAGTTGTGGCTTCCTTTAGGGAGTCAACCCATTTCCTATTGGGTCTTCCTCTTTCCCTGCTGCCTTCCACCTTTCCCATCGTTCTTGCCTATAGTTTCTACCGATCAAGAAAATTCAGCCATGAGAACATAAGTGAGGTTTTGATGAAAGAAAACTAGAGGGAGGTGAAGTTTGTCTCCGGGACCTTGCAATCAGACTGATGCTTGGGAAATCTGAGTTCAAGTTTTAACTCAGTCACAAAACTCACTGGGTGACCTGGTGCCAATCACGGTGTGCCCCAATATGATCTACCTCACAGGGATGTTGTGAGGAGAAAGAAACAGGGAGGAGAACCATAATCACAGACTTCAGCTTAAAAGATGAAAAGTGAGGTATAAATGTAAAACAATAATAATATTCATGCATTCACAGTAATACTCACCCAAAGCAAAAACTGATAACATGACTGCCACCAATATGATCATGGTCCAACTTAATTGAAGTTAGAATGGTAATAACGTTGATAGTTTTCAGGGTTTCTCTTCCCCCTGTTGGCTGCGATGAGTTGAAGCTGTTCTTCGGCACAGAGAACAGGAGGCAGTTCTAAAGCGTCTTACTTGTGGGTTTGCTGTTGGCGTGTGTGGTTTTCCTTTCTTGTCAGTCAAAAGAGTTCAGTTGAATCCGCCTTCTCCCCATTATGGGTGGGTGCAGGGGTCCAAATATTTAGTTTTGGGCCAGATTTTCATCACACGACCAATGGTGTCTGTCATTAAGAGGTGGCAGGGTTTTTGTGAGGAGAAAAGTTGAACATGGCAGATGTCCACATCAATGTAGCACATGTATCAGTATCACATCTCGCTGAGTATTCCACAACTATGTTGGGTTCCACTAATCTTGATTAAAATGACTTACAAACCCCACAATGACACTCAACAGAATTATTACCTGATCTCAGGAGCAGAAGGAACGTTCCGAGAACAGTCAAGAAGCAACGTGTTTCAGAAGGAGAAAGCATCTTTTCTGATTGCTGGTGTTCAGCAGAGACTAAGTTGAAATGAGGTGCCTTCTGCTGGTTTCCTTGTGGTTGAGAAGATGACAACTGGGGCTGCCTTCTTCTGAGGTCTGCTTCATCTCCTTCCTTCTCCTTGATGATGGTCCTTCATCGCTTTGCATCACCCCGTCATGCGTTTTGACTGTAATGTTCTGCATCTTGAAATCCAACTACCAGATAGAGAGTGAAGGCCAACGTCGCCCTCTACTGCCTGGAAGTGTAAAAATGAGGAAAGCCAATACAGTATACAGTATATATATACTTTTTCTGCCTCAATGAGACATAATCCCAACTCATGCAAAGAACTTCAGGACTTCCACAGAGTTTGTCATCACCTCCTTGCAGGAAAAAAAATAGAGGAGAGAGGTGAATAAATAAATTTCACAGTAACATCACTCCAACCCTACAAAGCATAGGTCATCCCTTACGTAATAAGGAATCAAAACTAAGTCTACGAAGTAAGAGCCTAGAGCTAAATGTAGCTGCCCTCTCTCCCCTATCCCCTCCTCATGAACACACATACGTGCAGCCTTATTTCTAAATTGAAGAGTAATTCTGTAAAATCTTCATTTCTAAGAGTGCTTGGAGCCTTGATGAGCCTTCAATAAAAACTGTCAGGGCTGAGGGATGGTAAAAGATTTTGTATAGCTTGGTTCAATAGGGACATGGTGGCTCTGTGGGCGAGTTTGTCATCACCTCCTTGCAGGAAAAAAAATAGAGGAGAGAGGTGAATAAATAAATTTCACAGTAACATCACTCCAACCCTACAAAGCATAGGTCATCCCTTACGTAATAAGGAATCAAAACTAAGTCTACGAAGTAAGAGCCTAGAGCTAAATGTAGCTGCCCTCTCTCCCCTATCCCCTCCTCATGAACACACATACGTGCAGCCTTATTTCTAAATTGAAGAGTAATTCTGTAAAATCTGCATTTCTAAGAGTGCTTGGAGCCTTGAGGAGCCTTCAGTAAAAACTGTCAGGGCTGAGGGGTAGCAAGGGGAACCTTTACCTTTACTATAGCTTGGTTCAATCATCGTTCCAAATGGAGATGGCAGTTAAGAAATCGGAAAACGGCTGAGACTAAGAAAGACCACGAGGAAGGAAAAAGAAAAAATGGTTAAATGGGAAGATGTGTCAAGAGATTAAGGCCAAGAGCCATCCATACTCTTCTCTTTCTGATCACCATAGATGGGTGCAAAAGATGGACATGGGGAAAAAAAGCATTCCTTTGAAAGGCAGTGCTGGAGGAGAGCTTTGTAGATACTCTGGATGGCCAGAAAGATGAACTCATGGGTCCAAGTTCAAATCAAGCCTGGAATTTCAAAAATGTTGAAAACGTGGCTGTCCTTTGGGCATATCATGAGAAGACAAGATTCTCTGGAAAAGCCGATGGTGCTGGGAAAGGAGGAAGGAAGGCAGCAGGAAAAGAGGGAGACCCAAGGTGAAATGGACTGGCTCCCTAAAGGAAGCCACAAGCTGGAGTCTGCAAAAGCTTAAAGGGGCCGTTGTGGACGAGATGTTTAACAGATTACTCATTCATCGAATCGCCATAAGTTGGCAACGTCTTGACAACAGTGGGGAGGTAGACAGAAATGCTCTCTTTTCTACGGACCAAAACATTCATCCTCGAATCTTGAAGACAATTCTCACCATGCAGGAGGAGATCAGATCGGCTTCGTAGGTCTCTCCTGTGCCCGCCTTCAATTCAGTGCGAGAAGAAAAGAGTTCTTGAGCAGACGACAGACCAGGAAGCACCACTGTGTCGCTCAGCGCGCAGTAGTAAACTGCAGCATCATTCAAGGTGACTTTGGTGAGGGTGAGGGCATTGGATTTTCGGCCGCTGGGGACATGCAGGGTTCCTTCCTCGTTGTGGCTGTATCCTGATGTTACATAGAGAAGAGTCTGACCCGGGAACTGCCGGTACCAAAATATGGTTTCTGTTGTAGCTTTGGGGTGGCTGCAAGTCAGGTTGAAGGTTTTTCCCTCTGATGCCTCCATGACTGGCTCTTGGATGATCTCCTGAGCTTTGCACCAAAGGACACCTGATACGGAAAACATGGCAAGATCCGGAGTGAACAGATGGAATTCTTGAACATACACTGATGGACATGACCACAAAGGTTTTTCCATCTGTTTTCCAAAGAGGGAGCCATCAACCCCCTGAATGTGGAAATAACTCATTAGAGAGAAGGATTTCCTTGCATGTTAATTTTTTTTTCTACTTTGGTGGATACCGTGATGGATGGGTCTGAGAAAAGCTAGTGTCACATTTCTCACTTTGCAATATAATTGCAATTAGTTTCATTTCTACTTTATACAATAAAGTATATAAATCGAAGCTATGTTCGTTCCAGAATCAGGAATATATAAACAGAAGGGAATTAACAAAACTTGGCTTTTTTTTTTCCTGCTGGAGTATCACCATGGAACACACCACCCACCCAAACGAGAGACAAATAATAAATAACGTGAACAACAGGGGTTGGAATTGCTTCCAGAAAATTCTACGAACCTGAGAAATGCAGGGTAAAAAACACAGCCAGTCTGATGGACATCGTGGAGAGCGTACAGTGGATATTTCTCTCCTTCTCTCACGCTTTCTCTTTCTTCCTCTTTGCTTCTGTTCGTCCTGGAGTTTCTTGACTCAAAGAAAAGTGGAATATTCAGGTTCTGCCGTTCACTGCTGCAAGTACCAAAAAGCCACACCACCACCACAACCTGGCACAGAGCATGAGAGGAAAGCTGGCTGAAAGAAAAGGAACCAGGCTTGGGGGTTTCATGTAAGACCTGGCGGTCAGTGGGCTGATCAAAATCTTCTCCCTTCTGGGTGAGGAAACATGAAGCTTACTCCTGAAAGAGTTGGCAGTGATGTAGTCCTGCCCCCTTTCCCTTTAGAGTTTCCTGCCTCTGTAACCGCAGTTGTGTTGAACCATACACTGTCTCTTTGTCTCTCTCTCTCTGTTTCCCTCCCTTCCTCTCTATTCTTCTCCCTGTTTTCTTTCTTCCTCCCCTCACTTTTGCCTGGTGCTTGCTTTCTTGTTTCCTCCTTTCCTTTCTTACTTCCATCTCCCGTCTGTTTTTCTCTCTCCCTTTCGTCCTTCTCATCCTTCTTTATTCCTCCATCCTTCTTTCTTTGATATGATCCTACCTCTCCTCTGAGACATCCCACACGGTTTCCTCCATACTGCTCCCCTGCTTGGCTTAAAATCACCCTGTGAGCTTCACAATTCCAAAGAGACTGGCCTTTCCTGTCCTGCAATATCCCACTCCAAGGTGTAACTCTAGCTCACCATAGGAACCCAATATTGAGAACATCGCTTATGCTGGTAAAAATGGTTTGAAGATGTAGATTAATCTAAATCTCGCTTTCTGATATGATCACAGTGCTGGGGAGAGAATGGTCAGGCGACCCCATCAACATTTTGTATTTTCCTGAATGTCTTGCTATGGATTTTCCTAATACCATCGCATACATTTAGCACAAATTTAGATCTCTGGGGGTGAGATGGAGAGGAAAAACTTGGTATTATTGAGAAAACCCTGAGAATTATGACACTATCCCACCCCAGAAGGGGGGAAATTAAGGGGGATCCTTCCCCTAAAAAATGTCCAGGTGGACTTTGAGCACATTTGATGATGTTCTTTTGTGTGGAACGAAAAGGAGAGGGCAGGAAAATCCTGTAGGAAAGAAAAGGAATCACATTTCGTATTAAGAGCCAAAGTAAAGGGATGGGGAAAGTGGAGAGATAGTTTTTTTAAAAAAAAAAAATACCTAGTTTAGGAATCAGTGGTCACCCCAAAGTCACACAGTGTAGAACTTGAGCCTTTGATGAGAGGGCTCCCCCTTCTGGTCAATGTGGGACATGGCAACATAAGGTCGATTTTTGCCTGTGTCATTTTCCAGGTAGGAGACGAGGAGTTTATTTCTCTGCCTAGTCTGTTAACAAAAACTATTTGAAGTCACTGCCATGCTTATAATTCAAGGCAGCTGCTGAAGATGACTGATAGACCTCTTGATCTGCATTGCTGCTCATTGACATGCTTATCATCAATTGCACTGTTGTGTTGTGGTTTATGTGTTTTTACATTATGTTGGATTCATGTTGCAATTCATTAATAACTATTACTTCTATTAATTTATTGAACTGATAGTAAGTAGTTAAGAATTGTCTTAATGGCTGCCTTTGTTTATTTGTTTGTTTTTTCACTGTCTTGTTGAAAATAGGGGAAGATCAAAGGTTAGAGCAAAATGATTTATGTGTTTTTTTCAATGCTCTCTGGAAACTTGGGAAATTCGGGACTTAAACGAGATGTGAATCTCTGTCCTCAAAAGTGGGGATGGGGGATATTTTTATATATTGCTTTTCTGTACTGTATTCTGTTGTAGTTTGTAGATTTATATGTTCAAATACAAAAAAATATTCCAAAAAAAAAAGAAAAGAAAATAGGGTCTACAAACAAAATATCTACTCAGGACATCGTAAATACCATTGTTTTCTCTTCCCAGAGACACCCTAAACACGGACTGGTAGGATGACAGACAACTTCCTTTTATTAAAAAAGAGCACATGGAAAAAGTATGGATCAACAAGATGGCATGCTTAACATATCATTAGAACCTGAATTCTCTCATCTCTTTACCCTACCATGTCCACATATCAACAGTCTGTTGACTTTCGCTTTGTGGATCATTTTTTCCCACTGGGAGGTAGAATTTACATTTAGAATAAATCCAGAGTAAATTCTCTGGCTCTGCAAACTGGGGGCCCTCTACTGCTCCCCTAAATAAAAATAAATAAATAAATAAATATCATTAGAACCCAAGTTCTCTCATCTCTTTACCCTACCACGTCCACATATCAGCAGTCTGTTGATTTTTCGCTTTGTGGATCGGTTTTTTTCCACCTAGGAGGTCGAATTTAGATCTAGAAGAAAGCCGGAGTAAATTCTCTGACTCTGTAAACTGGGGGCCCTCTATTGCTCCCCATTTCCAAGTTAGCCATTATGGGGGCTGAAGTAGGGTTGTGTGAGGCCCTGAGAGATTCAGAATCAAGTCAAAACTCCATAGGTCAAGGGACATTGGTAAGTGTTTAAGTTTGAGTCCCAAGTCTGAATCCGAGTCTTTGATATCAAGTCTCTATTAAAAACAAGCTCTTCTTGTAGGTTCCAAATCATGAGTCAGTTCCGAGTCATCGGCGGGAAAAAGCTGAGTCGAGTCCACTACTGGTGGAGTCGCATCACCAGTGTGACTTAAGTACGATTTTATAAGGAATCCTGCAACTCAAGTCCGCATCCCTGCCATGGGTCAACAGATAGATTATCTCTCAGGCCGATCTTCATCACAGGATTGTTATGTGGAGAAAAGTCTGAAGCAGAGCCGTGTACACCAATGTGCGCTCCACCCTACAGGAAAATTAGAATTAAAGATAAACCAGGATACTAAAGTTTTAGGTTGTTCTGTCAAATTTTTGTTGGAGAGCTCAGTGGTTTAAACAGAGGTTGGGAGTTTAGTCCCCCAGTTTGCGTCCTAGGATGCCCCCAGAAGAAGGGAATGGGAAACCACTTCTGAATATTCTATACCTGGCAAACCATGGAAGGGTTGCCAGAAACCAGAATAGACTTGATGAGTTATTGTCAAGAGAGATTGTCTCATTCGCAAGAATCCTAGCAAGAGTCAACTAAGAATCCAGTTGAATTGTGTACATGGAATGAGTTAAGAAGGAACTAGGTGGACTCAAAATTGTCTTTTGCCTCAGAAAAATATCTTGGGCCTGACCCTGCTCAATCATCTTATCCTGGGCTCTTCCCAAAGGACCTCCCTGTTTCCTGCTTGATAGAGTCTGGCCAATTTTTTATCCACTGGACTTCCTGAAAGTGTAAATCTCTATCTTAGGGTAGAGTGGGAGAGATGAAGCGAAATCCTGAACCACCTCATGTCCTTTGGTTTTAAAGACAATAGCTTAAAAGGTTGCTTTTACATAAATGCATAGGATGTAGCTAGACTATAATAATTATTGTTTTGTTCTGTTTTGAGGGAGGAAATGTGTCCCCTGGACTCCAACAACTCATATTTTTTAAGTAGAATAGTCTAAGAGTGGAGCTTAAGTCTTTGCAGCTTAGGTCCCTGAACATTTTAGGTCTGCTCCTCCTCTGTGCTATGACGTCTTTCCCACTTTGCATGTTTTTGATTGACTTCCCCGTTGGCCCGTCTCACTGTGTCACTCCCAGCGCAGAAGTAGATAGCAGAGTCCTCCAGCTGGATGGCAGTTTTCTTCAGGCTGAAAGTGCTCAGTGGCTTTTCATTCTCAGCAACGAAGCCTCTGGCTCGCCCTTCGTCTGAAGGATCCTCTGCATCCCTCAGAAAGAGTTTGGGGGGCTGTCCAGGATGTTGAATGTACCAGAATAAATAGTAGATACTTTTCTCATAGGTACACTTGATGGTGATCTGTTTCCCTTCGGTGATAGTCATGGTGCCTTCTGGCTGGTTCACAGGTGACCCCTTCATCCCTTTTGTAGAAATAAGATCAAAGTAGGAATAGTGATGTTTGATTGAAAAATGGACACAGGGGCTTTTCGTAAGTTCTTTCACTTTCAAAATATCGCACAACTTTCAGGACCTTTTTAATGTAGTTATCAACACAACTGGAAAGATAGGGTGTGCCTTCATCCGTCACATTAAGGTAAACTTAAATTTACTAGTCCCTAAGGAATTGTTGACCCACTAGCCAAAAGACCCGAATATTGTCCTACCTGGAGAAAGGAAAGGCATAAATTACTATAGGTTCTTGTGGACAGTTAAAAAGCTCTAAATGGATTTTGGGCATTGCCAGGATGATTTAAGAAAAATTGGGGCATTGAATCAATAGCTGTTCTATCATTCTACCTTTACAATGAATAATGATTGCATTTAACCCACCCACAGCGATTTTACACATTATAACCCTTCAAAAAGATGAGCTTAAAATGGATATCCCGCCTAACTGTGCAAAACAGAGAGCGATTTTACACATTATAACCCTTCAAAAGACGAGCTTAAAATGGATATCCTGCCTAACTGTGCGAAACAGAGATATGAACCCAGGTCTCCTGAGTCTTTTAATTTTTACCCCTATTTCTATTTGCCAGGAGGACTTTGGTTAGCTTTTACCAAAGGAACTTTTACTACTGACATTTTTTCTCCTCAGACGGATATGGCACAGTCCCGTCCAGCCACATCTGGGCTATATCACAACATCGCAAGGCAACTGTAGATCAGGACTCAAGAGAAATTATTTAAAATGCCATTCAAAGGTACTGAATGACAGGAGCCAAGAAAGGGTGGGAGGGGGGAAAGGTCGAAAGATACTGCCGAGCGGAGAAGAGAAATGAGTAGCACTTACTTGAGGCCACCATGGATAGCACAGACACGATCCAAAGGAAAGACATTTTTCCTCAGGATGATGCAGGAAAGAAAGGAGAAGCCGAATACCTCTCTGCTTAAGAAGGCAATGAAACACAGTTGTTGCTTGGTGGATTTTTTTAACTCTCTGCTTAAGAAGGCAATGAAACACAGTCGACGCTTAGTGGATTTTTTTTAAAGAGCAACCTAACAGTAAGAGATGGTAACACTCACCACAGGATGTGGTTTCTATCTGGGAATCTCAGAGAAACACAAACCATTTCTCTAACCGAGGTACACTTTGATCACCGGCTTGACTCAACATCTCCACCCAATGCATGAAAGACGCATGGCATCAAGATCCAAAGGTCCAGTACCTCCTTGAGCTGGATTAGAACCATTTCCCACTGAGTTTAGATGTTTGCTGGGACATTTGAACCCTGGTTTCCTGAGCCCAAATCTGACCACCCTAGCGCTGATGACCCCTTGATCTCAAGGGTAGGTTAGAGATGTTGTGTTTGATGCTTTTGAATTGTGGTGCTGGAGGAGTCTCTTTAGAGTCCCCTGGATTGCAAGGAAATCAAACCTATCCATTCTGAAGGAAATCAGCCCTGAGTGCTCACTGGAAGGACAGATCCTGAAGCTGAGGCTCCAGTACTTTGGCCATCTCATGAGAAGAGAAGACTCCCTGGAAAAGACCCTGATGTTGGGAAAGTGTGAA